AGTGTTCTTTGGTTTGAAGCCTAAATTTTGGAGCTTATAAAAAGGTTTTTTCTTATTGATTTAAGTATTTTTTTATTTTCCCATTTCTAGCTTGACATTTATTGAAAATTCCTCTTTCGATGCGTTTTTATCCACTTTCTCTTTTTCCATAATGTTTCTTTCTCAATTTTTCATGATTTCTCCTTTTTGCCCCAATGCTTTAAACTTTTTTTTTTTTGTCTTTAGAGTAGGTAAAGAGGATATACATAAGTAATGGTGGAGTGAAAATGTATAAATATGATAGTGAAGTGAGGATAAATAATATAAATTATGGAGTAAGGATGAGTATAGTGACTCTAAACAGAACATTTTACACTAATATAGTAATGCCAAATAAATATAATAGTGATTAAACCCATACCATTTACTCTGATACCATATAGTATGTTATGTTAAACTAACTATAAAATGAGCAATTACTTGATGAGAGAGCCTTTAATGGCTATTTTATCCCTATTTATCACCTAAAATTCCAAAGATTCATAGTAATAATATATCCAAATCTAATCCCATGATCACATATGTTACAATTTCTCTATAGCAAGACTCTATATGATCTCCTCCATAATCTATATTTCATACTCCATTAGATGCTTTTTAAGACGGTGACGTGATCAAGAGTAAATCTTTTGGTAAAAGAGTTAATAAAGATCCTATTGATTCTTCAACTTCTATAAATATTCTTGATCCATTAGGATTGTCAGTAAAATTAGTATCTTGAGCTCCTTCAAGGAAAGCCTCTAAACAGTCTGTTGTAATAGCTATTATTGAGACTAACAACTCAAGTAGCCATATTGAAACTACCGAAGGGAATGAAGAAATAGAGGAGGATGTGAAACAGGATGATGACTTGACAGGATCTGACAACCTTATACTATTATACTCTGAAGATTCATTGCACTTGTATTCTATTTCATCTGATTGTCATGTCTGAAATTAGTGGCTAGTAACACATCATCTCTATATGCTTTGTGCCTTGAGAGAAAGAGAGAGGAGAGGGATTTCTACTAAGTCTTAATTTTTATATTTTTTAAGTATGACTCAAAAAAAGAATATTATAAAACTAGAAGAGAAAACTTAGGTTAGAATCACTCCACATTCCATGTTCTAATGCTTTGGTGTCGTGAGGGGCTCTTCTTTATATAGTCCTTGGACTATATTTTATATTTTGTTGTTGATATCATAAAATATTAATGTATTAAAGGTGGTAGATTTAGATGACCATTTTTAATGTATAGGTTACATAAGAAAATATTTTAAAATGGTGGCAGAACTCTTTGCAATATTAGAGGATATACTTAAATGTAGGAGTTATATATGCAAATCATTTTATAAAGGTGGTGGAAAATAAGGTTTGTGATAGAGTAAGGTGGATGAGTAATAGAATAAATATAAAATATAAAAAGGAAAGAATAGTCCTAAAAGGATTTGGTTTGACTTATTTTTTACTTTGACTTCAAATATTAAGTCATAAAGAAAAGGTGGTGGTAGAATAGTAAAGTGGTAAGGGTAGGGGTATAAAAGGATGGTTTTATATATACATATATGAGTATGGCATTTTTAGTTGAAAATTTTTCCCATCACATAATCCCACCCAAACAAGCTATATAGTTATAAGCTATATGGGTTGTTTGCAACCCAATGGTAATATTATCTTTTAGATGAACATAGAACATTTTTAACCTATATCCATTTAGTCAAGTGTTGTGTTATTCTCCATCAAGATTTGCTAGCAAGTATGATCCATTATTGTTGACCTCAACAATTTAATATAGGCCATCCTATTGCAAAAGAAACTTTTTTGTGAATGTTTTGTCAATCTTGCTATCATACTTCATAACTAAATTGCAAACCTGAAAAGCTTTGTAAATTTCTTATTAAATCTGTGCTTTCTTGAATTGCTTTTATATGTTGAAAAATTTGATGTTGATTTTCATCCATCCCTTCAAGTTAAATAAGTGTTAATTGCAAGTCCTCATTGTCACTTAATCCATGCTTCAGTGCTAATCATAAACTTGGGATCTCCAACTCAATTGGAAATATAGCTTCTATCCTATAAACTAGCTAGAAAAGAATGAAGTTTATTGTTACCTTATATGTGGTTTTATAAGCCCATAATGCTATCAATAGCGATTGTCCAATCTTTTTTCTTTTTGGCACTCAATTTTCTTAGAATGTTGCCCAATACACCATTTGTTCTCTTCACCAACCCATTAGCTTGTGGATAGCATGATGTTGACTATCAATATTTTATTAATAACTTCTTTATTAGTGTTTTAACCATCTCTTTGCAAAAGTGTGAGCCTTAGTCAATGACAATCTCTAACAAGTAACTAAACCTTGTGCATATATTTTGGACAAGAAAGTTTACCACAACTTCCTTGGTATTGCTTTTAGTTATTACTTCTTTAGCCCACTTAGTAAGGTAGTCTGTTGCCACCAAAATAAATCTTTTCTGATTTGATGCCATTAGAACTGGTGCTTTAAAATTTATCCCACATTTCTCAAATAGTCTTGTTGGCAAATTTGGATGGAGACTTCCTGATTGAAGGATTCTTCTTTCAAAGGCCTAACAAATGTAATATAACTTGCACCATTCCTTCACATCCTAGAATAATGTTGGCCAGAAATATTCTACATTCACAATCTTCTTGATAGTATAATTATGGGAGAAGTGTTCACCATAATATCCTTCATGACATTGCTTTATGATCTCTTTTCATTCGTTTTGTTCAACTTCTCTCCGAAGCATGCTATCTCATCCAATTCAATAAAGTTGATCTTTGATTAGTGTGAATGGTTTTGACTTGAATATAATTTTTTGCTTTTCAATGCCTTTATAACCTTCTAGAAAACTATATATTCCTAAAAAGTTGTAAATATCCCAATATTTTTCCATATCAACACTCATTGTTAAGACTTCATGATCTTTTTCTTGGCATAGATTAATCTCTTTTTGCTCTAGAGGTATTTTATAATCCAAAGCTCCAATCAATCCTACTTGAGTGTTTTTCTCATATTAAAACTTAAAGTCATATTCTACTAAAGTTGTCATCTATCTAGAAAACTTCCCAACAAGTGTTAGCTTATTTGCAATATACCTTAATATAGTATTATCTGTAGGAACACAAAATGCCTTCCTCACAAGTAGCATTTAAATTTCTCTACCATATATATGATATTTGCAGCTTGCTTCTCCAAAAGTGGATAACATAGCTCATGTCCTTGAAGTTGTCAGCCAATATAGTAGACGGGAAACATATATCCTCTACTCCCCTTTTGGAATAGAATCATTGTGATAAAATACTTGCTAATGTTTATGTTCACATAGAAAGTCTCATCCCAACATAGTGCCACCAAAATCAAGGTTGAACTTAGCACTTTCTTCAAGTTTTTAAATGTCTTGACACTCTACTATCCAACTAAAGCTTTCTTTTTTTGGTAAAAGTTTGTTTAAGAGAAATGCTATTTCAGCAAATCCCTAAACAAACTATCGATAGTAACTCACCAGTCTTACAAACTGTTGTACCTTTTTTAATAGGCATTTCCACCAACTTTTGTATCTTATTTTGGCTTGGTTTAATTCTTTCTTTAGAGACTATATGACCAATTAATGTACCTTTTGTGCTTGCAATTTGACATTTTCCAGATTTAGCAACTTTTTAATTCATCTAGCCTTTCAAATGTTATTTATTCCTTTTCCAAATGAGTTACTCAGTTTCTGTATATGCAAGAGTCGTCAAGGTACACTAATAAACTTGCCCAGGTACAGTTCAAAAATTTTGTTCATGAGTCGTTGAAATGTTGTTGGTGCATTTGTGAGCCCAAATGCAAACTTGAAAATATCTAGAGTATCCATTAGAAACAGTGTATCACTCATGCCATGCTACTTTATCAAGGATCTCATCCATGAATGGAATGGGATGATGATCACATCATGTAGCATCATTCAACTTTTTATAGTTGATATATATTTTCCATTTCCCTCCCTTCTTTAGTGTTATTATAACAGGTGACACCCAATTTGAATTCTCCACTTCAGATATGAAGTTAGCTTTGATTAACTTCATTAACTTAGAAACAATATCAAACTTTAGAGGTCACTAATTTGTATAGTTTTTGAGCCACTGGCTTTGCTCCTTACTTAATTGGAATCTCATGTTCCATTATATCCACTTGCCACACCTCCTCATAGGAATTTATGACAAGCTTTGGGAACTTCTTTAACATCATTGTTGTGATCTATGTATGGTTCACATGTTTACAATTTGATTTTCTGGGTAAAGATTCCACCAGGTATCAAAACTCTGTAAGAGGTATATGATGCTATACACTATTTCAAGAAAGGTATGTTGTGACTTGTGCTGTCCTCATTGAGATGAGTTGTTTGTTACACAAGGAAAAAGGAAGGGGTTGACCTCTTTGATAAGTTAGATACTTCTAATCTTAATGCCCATCTGAACAGCACAGGTGACTTTTACTTTGTCAAGGCCAAAATGATCTGAAAAATTACTTGTTACAGTTGACGGAGATGCTTGGTGTGACTCTTAACGAGAAAACTGCAGAATACTCCCAAGCAAATAAGGAGGTAAGAGAACATTCTGTTTGGTTAGCACTTTTTTGACAAGTCACGATTCCATGTAATCATCAATGGACAGTATCCAAGGGCTATAGTGCTCAGATGGAAAGAATGGAGGCAAAGATTGCAGAGTTAAAGGTCCGTTTTTCTTTATGGTTTGTTTGAGGCTGATGCTTTGCTATTGGCAGACACTGCGTGAGGAACTTGGGGAAAGTTGAAAAGGGCAAACATCCAGTTCACACCACGGCTAAAAGGCCTCCAACCGCAGAACTGTAAGTAGTTTCTACTTTTGACTATTAGGTTGGAAAAGAAGTTGGCTCAAACTGATGCAAGGATAGCCAAGATGACCTTGGATCTGTCCGTCAAAGAAGATCTCATATCGTGGCACTGGGAACGTCAAAGATCAACTACAAGGATCCTCAAAGAACAGTCGCTTGGTGCAAGCGACATGAAATCCCCATTGAGAAGGTAACCCGGCACTTCGTACTTTCATTTCTCTTACTGAGGCAGGAGATTTGGATCACAGGTTTTTAGTAAGTCATTGCTGGCCATGGGCAATGAAGGTAGAACCCAACTTCAGATTTTATGAGGCTGATGGTGGTGCGGACGAAGACCCTTGATTCTTTGAAATGTATATTGTCTCCAGGTATGCTTCCTCGTTCCCGCTGGCTAGAAGTAGAAAAACTTGGAAGAAGGTGACTTCCCTCTGTCAATATAACGTCAACACTTGCGAGACTCTATCTTGGTCTTGATGATCATGGTCTCACTGTGAGAACTAGAGGGTAACATCACAGACGAGTGGAGCTGAAGTAGGATCCAGGTAGTCGCAAGCTGAAGCTTCTGGAGCTACCATCACTTGAAGGTGGTGGCAAGTCAAGAACGTCTATGTTACCTTCAAGCATATCCAGGACGTTTCTCATGGAGGGGCGGATTGCTGCCTCGAGTTGGATGCACCACAGTCCGATTTTCACGTACCTCTCGGCATCCTTGAGCTCCAAGCCAGTGCTAGTGCTGGCGAGATCATCGTCCAGGAGCTTGTCGTCAATAAGCTCGACGACGTTGCCACTGTGAAACATGCTCAGCGCGGTTTCGCCCAGGAAGCGCGGTTGCGAGGAGGATGAGGAGGAAGAGGAGGATGGAGGATGGAACTGGATGGTCCGCTTGGAGCTGACGAGCTCGAGCAGCACGATTCCAAAGCTGTAAACGTCGGTCTTGTCCGTGACTTTAGTGTGGAGCCACTCGGGTGCCATGTATCCGGGAGTTCCTCGCATGACAGTCACCACTTGGCTCTTTCCCCGCTCGGCGAGCTTGCTCAGGCCAAAGTCGGAGATTCTGGCTCGTAAGTTCTCGTCCAGGAGGATGTTTTGAGGTTTGATATCCAGGTGAAGAACTTGCTCCCGGCATCCTTCATGGAGGTATGTGAGTCCTCGAGCAACATCTATCGCGATTGAGTGTCTCTGGTTCCAGTTTAACAGCAGATTTGCTGATCCGCCACCTTTGTCATCATCGTTCTTGGTGAAGATCCACTTGTCCAGTGATCCATTGGGCATGAACTCGTAGACAAGCAATGCAGCTGGTCCCTGGATGCAAAATCCCCGGAGCTTTACCAGGTTGAAGTGGTGAATGCTGCCAATGGACATTACCTCGGCCTTGAACTGCGAGTGTCCTTTCGACGAGCCTTGGATCTCTACGTCCATCTTCTTCACAGCAACGAGGCTCCCATCCGCAAGCTCTCCTTTGAAGACGGATCCAAATCCTCCAGCTCCAAGCATGAGCTCGGGATCAAAGTTTCTAGTTGCCATCTTCAAGTCGTGATAGCTAAACTGGTGCGGAAGTATCTCATCGAGCCTCATTCCTTCGATGAGCGCTTGCTTTTCCATGCGCCTCCTCCGAGATCTTCTCCACTTCCTGGTTGCTACGAAGATTACGACGCTAAGCACCACCCCGGCCACAGCGCTTGCTACCCCAGAGATCACTCCCAGATAATTCTTTTTGCTTCGAATGGACTGTGGAAGATTCATATCAATGACATTCCAGGTGATATTTCTCAAGATTCCAATGCCTGGATCATACCCAAGCTGCCTCCACACTTGCTCGTTCGCAGCCACAGCGTTTGGAGCACAGGGCTCCGTGAACGAATGATCCCTGAGACACCCGTCTGGGGAGTAGCATTCAGCCACCATTCTAGCCACCGCAGTCCGTCCGTTTGGAGCTAAAACTTGGATGTTTTTCGAGCACAAGCTTCGGTCTTGGCTATACCATCCAGTGGCCAGCGCTGCCATGGGTTCCCTATTCCATTCCGAGGACGTGCACGGCCTGAGAGACCCCGGATTTGAGAGGTTGAAGCTTGTGACATAGAGGACGGCATTGTTGGTCCCTTGTAAATTTGGAGAGCAGGTGAAATACCTGTAAGCCAGGCCTGGGACGCAGCAATTCGGGCAGTCTGGACCGATGGTGGCATTGAAAATGACGCTGGAGATGGGCTTGCAAGCTTCAGAATCGCTGAGATATGGCTCGGATTGATTGTTCGATAGGTAGCAGGATGAATTGCGGAGTGAACGGTTGCCGCTGAGCATGGGCTCCGGGAAACAAAGAGATCCATTCGGGCAGTCGCTTAACGAAGAACATACCTGTTGTTGGGCTTGCGAGTGGAAGCTCCTGGTGCTACATAGCACAATCATGAAGCACATGAGAATCGACACCTCCATAGTTTAGTAAATACCACTGTTCTTGGGCACCTGGAAACCATAGAAAATCAGAAACTATGAGATCACGTCTCTCTCGTCACAGACTTAATGTTTGGCAGCTGGCTTCAGGTATCTTTCAGTGTCATGGTTTTTCTGGGATGGCAGACGAAAAGAGGAATTCCTCCAAGGGACCCGCAATGCTTTAACAAGTCAAAAGCTTCGATCTTGAGACCGCAAAGACTTCAGCGTTTAAACCAGTTTACCTTTTGCAATTCCAGCCATGGATCATTGCAGCACTTTCTTCGCGCCAGCGATGACCTCACTCGCCAGCGCCACCGCGCAGCAATTCTCCTCCTCTTGCGGCACGAGATGCGACTCTAGGCGCGATTGTTCTAGCGGCCTCGTTTGCAATCCTGTTAGCAAGACCTACGATGGCGATCCAGGAGCTAGCACCCTTTCCTGCCCAATTCCCGGCTGCGAGCCCGGCAAGACCTTCGTCAACTCGAATGCCACTGCCCACAATCCCGAGTACTGCATCGGCAACAACATCTATCAGTTCTTCAATTGCTCCCCTGAAGAGCAGTCTCTCAACTTCGCGGCTTTCTACTACATCAAGCTGGAGGAACTCCCCACGGCATGCAATCAATCCACGCCTTACAAGAACTCGGAGCTCCTGGCAAACATGGCCACCGGATGGTTTGCCAGTGGATCCTCGTGCTTCAAAGAGATTGTGATCACGGCAGAGAATGGGATGAGCGTCACGGCGACGGTGGCGGATACTACGAGCCGTGCACGCCCAGATCGTTGGGAGGGACGAGAGGTGTGTGGGAAGGGCTGGGCCAGACGTATTTTGATAATGTGTTGCAAGTCATTTGAAGAGGTTAAGGGCGGCGCAACCATTAAGACATGTGGCATATTGATCCAACGCATGATTAACTTAAGCCAGTGATTGCATTGGTTTCTAGTTGGTGCTCTTAGGGATTTTGTGGTGGAAGGTGGTGAGACGATCCAATGCCACCAAGAAGAAGCTCCATCGGGGGGATCTCACTGAGCAAGGGATTCCAGAGCAAGGTGGGAGAGGGAGGGATTGGGACTGTGTTCAAGGGGACGTTGCCCAGCGGACAGATTGTGGCGGTCAAGAGGATTGGCGGTGGATCGCGGCAGGGGGACAAGCAACTTAAGGCGGAGGTGATTGGCAGCATCCATCACCTCAATCTCGTCAAGCTGGTTCGATTTTGCCTGCAGTCTCCCCCCAACGTAGTCGTCTACGCCAATGGCTTGCTGGATGGATGGATTTTTGCCAAGGAGAAGTGCCTGCCCTGGCCAACCAGGCTTTCCCGACGTCGCTCGAGGGCTTGCGTATCTCCACGATGGATGCCGCGAGAAGGTACTCCATCTAGACATCAAGCCCCAGAACATCCTCCTGGACGAGAAGATGAATGCCAAAATTGCCGACTTTGGATTCTCCAAGCTCATTGACAAGGACAAAACTCACGGGGCACAGTGGGATACATGGCTCCCGAGTTGCTCCACTCTCTTGTCATGGACAAGACGGACGTCTATAGCTTTGGGATCGTCCTCCTGGAGCTCGTGTGCTGCATGAAGGCCGTGGAGTATCCCTCGGACTCACAGATGGACGTTGGGTTCCTCGCCCAGACTGCTTTCAACAAGCTCGGCTTCTGGCTTATAAACAACTAATGAATGAATATGACTTAAACATTTGCTTCGTCAAAAACTTCTTTTTATTAGCAAGAAAGACCAATGCTGATGTTGGTACGAGTTCAGTTGCTGAATCTTCATGTTATGACAACAGGCACAGCAACGCATGGCTGGAAGCTGGAAAAGCTGGAAGAATTGTACAGCCAGCAGCAGTGCATTCAATTCATGGCTAGAAATCACGCTTCTCTCGTGCTCTTTTTCGCTTGCTTGGCTCTAGGATTCTCAGTGGAGACAGCCAGAGAGAGTTTCACGTACTCCTGGACTCCAGAGGAGCGCCAACGAGGCCACGTCGAGGGTGCTGGAAAGCAAGACGACGATTGCACCTGCTACTCCGTGGCCGATGGTCCCACATCAGACGCGGTATACACACACCACATGGCACGGCGATGCATGGCTCCTACAAAAGCTAGTGCTCCGAGGTCATGCAAGAATTGTACAGAAAAACCATCGATCTTCGGCTTCTCTTGTGCTCTTTTTCGCTTGCATGGCTCTGGGATTCTCAGTGGAGGCAGCCAGAGAGAGTTTCACGTACTACTGGACTGTAGAGGAGAGTGCAACGAGGCCTCAAACACAGAAATCAAGGATTGCAGTGGCAGTGCAATAGCTTCCGTCTGTGGCGGTTTCAGTTCAGAAATCCACGTCGAGGGTGCTGGAAGGTTGAAGGATGGGCGCTACGTGAATTGCAAAGACAACGATTGCACCTACTTCGTGACTGATGGTCCCAAGGGCAGTCGAGAGAACGACTCGCAGCTTTACGTGTCTATCGCTGTTCCAGATGAAGGGAAGTATCCCTTTGGATCACATCTCAAGATAGATCTGCTCCAAGACATAGCGCTTCCCAACGGCAGGCAACACAATGGATGTGTTCGGGTGGACGATGCCTGCATGAAAGACAAGGAGAAGAACAATGAATGCAACATGGACTTCTACGTGGGATCTGAGAGTAACTACCTTAATATTGATCATGAGCTACAGGATGCTGAATTATGGGATGCCAATATTGATCCGAACTGCCAGATCCAAGACTAGATTGGAAATGCTTGCATATTATAAGATTTGGTTTCCTATTAAGACTAATAAACTGCTCATCTATTTTTATCTCTTAGCAGCAACAATTTAAATGTTCTGATTCTGAAATCAGCATTGGTTTTTAGCGAAAAAGAAAGAGAAGCGGCAGACTGGTGATTTCTAGCCATGAATTGAATGCAGTGCTGCTGGCTGTACAATTCTTCCAGCATTCGTCATTTCCAGTTTTAGGGTTGGCATCTCCGTCGCACCTGCCAACACTTAAAGTGGTTTCATTCATTCATTGGTTGTTTATAAGGTCTTGCAGCCAGTTTCGATGATCTCTTGAGCTATTTGCTGAACTCCTCCAGATCTTCTGCTTCGAGACATGTAAATTGCCGTTCAATTAACTTATTAAGCAATCATAATTCTTCAAATGAGCCAAGTCCGAGACCGAGATGGAGATCTGCAATCCCGAGCCACTGCTACTCACCAAGAGTGATGAATCCTGTGCAGCAGGTCTCTCCAGCTGAGGGAACGCCAACACATCCATGGCACTCTCGAGCATCTTCACCACCACAGACATCGTTGGTCGCTGCAAAGGATCCTCCTGTCCACACCATAGCCCGATCCGGATGATGTTCTCGAAGCCACTCAAGGATAAACCACCACCGTCCTCGGCTTTGACCCATGGCGTTTCCACTGTCGAGCTTGTTGAAAGCAGTCTGGAGTGAACGCTCCAGGAAACAAAGAGATCCATTCAGGCAGTCGCTTAACGAAGAGCATACCTGTTGTTGGGCTTGCGAGTGGATGCTACATAGCACGACCATGAAGCACAGAGAATCGACACCTCCATAGTTTAGTAAATACCATTGTTCTTGGGCACCTGGAAACCATAGAAAGTCAGAGACTAGACTATGACATCATGTAAGTCTCATTAGTTCGTTTCGGCCCAAAGACTTAAAGTTCGGAGGTATCTTTCAGTGTCAAGGTTTTTTTGGGCTGGCAGACTAAAAGAGCAATTCCTCCCACGGGACCCTCGCAATGCTTTAGAAAGTCAAAAGCCTGACAAGTCTAGCTCCACATGAGACCGCAAAAGACTTCAGACTTTTGCTAGAGCAGTTTACCCGCGAGAGGTTTGCAATTCCAGCCATGTATCATTGCAGCAGATCTTTCTTCGTGGATTCTCAGTGGAGACAGCCAGCGAAAGTTTCACGTACTACTGGACTCCCGAGGAGCACCAACGAGGCCACGTCGAGGGTGAAGACGACGATTGCACCTGGCTGGTGGTCCCACAACAGATGCGGTATACACACACCACACCGCACGGCGATGCATGGCTCCTATAAAAGCTAGTGCTCCGAGGTCATGCAAGAATTATACAGCCAGCAGCGCTGCATTCATTCATGGCTAAAAATCATCGATCTTCCGCTTCTCTTGTGCTCTTTTTCGCTTGCATGGCTCTGGGATTCTCAGTGGAGGCAGCCAGAGACGTACTACTGGACTGTAGAGGAGTGCGGCAACGAGGCCTCAAACACAGAAATCAAGGATTGCAATGACAACGCGATAGCTTCCGTCTGTGGCGGTTTCAGTTCAGAAATCCACGAAGGGTCCTAGAAGGTTGAAGGATGGGCGCTACGTGAATTGTGAAGACAACGATTGCACCTACTACTCTGTGACTGATGGTCCCAAGGGCAGTCGAGGGAACGACTTGCAGCTTTACGTGTCTATAGCTGTTCCAGATGAAGGGAAGTATCCCTTTGGATCACATCTCAAGATAGATCTGCTCCAAGACTTAGCGCTTTCCAACGGCAGAATGGATGTGTTCGGGTGGATGATGCCTGCACGAAAGACAAGGAGAAGAACAATGAATGCAACATGGACTTCTACGTGGGATCTAACTACCTTCTTATTGATCATGAGCTACAGGATGCTGAGTTATGGGATGCCAGATCCAAGACTATGGCAGCTAGATTGGAAATGCTTGCATATGAAAAGATTTTAAGACTAATAAATAGCTCATCTATTTTTATTTATTAGTCAGTGAACTTTGTTGTGGACCCACAATATTTTTAATTCATTTTTACTACCACTTCACCTAATTTCACAGCAAGAATTCTACGTTTTAAATTTATTGTTCTGACTCTGAAATCAACATTGGTCTTTCATGAAAAAGAAAGAGAAGTGGCAGATTGGTGATTTCTAGCCATGAATTGAATGCAGTGCTGCTGCATGTACAATTCTTCCAGCATTGCTGTCATTGCCGTCATTTCCACTTTTAGGGTTGCCATCGCCGTGCCGTGTGTGTTTATATACCTCATTCATTCATTACTTGTTTATAAGGTCTTGCCGTTTCTCTTGATGATTCTTGAGCCATTTGCTGAACTCCTCCAGATCTTCCGCCTCGAGACCTCCTGGTTTCTCATTGAGGATTCTAAATATATATGTAAATTGCCGTTCAATTAACTTATTAAGCAATCATAATTCTTCAGATATCTACTTAGCGAGCCAAGTCAGAGACCGAGATGGAGATTTGCAATCCCGAGCTCTCGCTGCTGCTCACCAGGAGTGATGAATCCTGTGCAGCGGGTCTCTCCAGCTGAGGGAACGCCAACACATCCATGGCACCCTCGAGCATCTTCACCACCACAGACATCGTTGGTCGCTGCAAAGGATCCTCCTGTGCACACCATAGCCCGATCCGGATGATGTTCTCGAAGCCACTCAATAAACCACCACCGTCCTCGGCTTTGACCAGCCGATCATCCACCAAGTGCATGGCGTTTCCACTGTCGAGCTTGTTGAAAGCAGTCTGGGCGAGGAACCCAACGTGCATCTGTGAGTCCGAGGGATACTCCACGGCCTTCATGCAGGACATGAGCTCCAGGAGGACGATCCCAAAGCTATAGACGTCCGTCTTGTCCGTGACACGAGAGTGGAGCCACTTGGGAGCCATGTATCCCACTGTGCCCCACATGACTGTCACGACATGAGTTTTGTCCTTGTCAATGAGCTTGGAGAATCCAAAGTCGGCAATTTTGGCATTCATCTTCTCGTCCAGGAGGATGTTCTGGGGCTTGATGTCTAGATGGAGTACCTTCTTGTGGCATCCATCGTGGAGATATGCAAGCCTTCGAGTGACGTTGAGCACGATGGATAGCCTGGTTGCCCAGGGCAGATACTTGTCCTTGGCAAAAATCCATCCATCCAGCAAGCCATTGGCGTAGACAAGTACGTTGGGGGGAGACTGCAGGCAAAATCCAACCAGCTTTACGAGATTGAGGTGATGGATGCTGCCAATCCACATCACCTCCGCCTTAAGTTGCTTGTCCCCCTGCCGCGATCCACCGCCAATCCTCTTGACCGCCACAATCTCTCTGCTGGGCAGCATCCCCTTGAACACAGTCCCAAACCCTCCCTCTCCCACCTTGCTCTGGAATCCCTTGCTCGGTACAGCTCTTGGTACCTATCAGTGAGATCCCCCTGATGGAGCTTCTTCTTGGTGGCATTGGATCGTCTCACCACCTTCCACCACAAAATCCCTAAGAGCACCAAGGCAACGAGCGCTCCACTAGAAACCAATGAAATGATATCTTCGCCCTTCACTGGCTTAAGTTAATTGGATTGTCTATGTGTTGGATTAATATATGCACTCGCCACATGTCATGGAATGGAAATGTGTTATCAAGTGGTAGAAAGTGTGATAATAAAGGGAAATGGTTGGAAAGATGAATGCCTTAAAGCATGGAAGTGTATGTATGTATAGTAGGGATAATGGATAGGTTGGGTATGGCCGACCAACTTGAGGCATAATTGAACTCTCACTTGCATAAATATTTTTATTTTGCATTTGGCTTGGGTTTAAACCCAAGTTTCACATTATGTTACTCATATCCTCGTGTTAGGGCACTAATATGCTGAAATAATGCCAAATTTTATTTGGCTCTATTTTACACTGGTTTTAGCATTGGGATGCTAAATGCTTTAGGATTGTTCCAAGTTATTCTATGCTTTTATCCTTTTGTTCTTTAGGTTATATGCTCGGGGTTGTTTCGTGCTTTAGTACCTTCACTCTTTAGCTCCATGCTTAAGAGTTTGGCTCTGTTCCTTCATTTAGTGGCCCAAGACCTTGAATTTCAGGTTTCACTTTTTTGTCCTTGGGGACATGTGGCATATAGATGGTTTAGATTTCATTTCGTGGTTATCCTTTATCCTATGGTGATTTACCATAGGATAACACCATGAAACGGAACCTAAACCCTCTTTATGCCACATGACACATGCCACATGTCATATGCCACGTGTCCAAAGGACAGTGGTGTAGAACCCAAGGTTCAGGGCCTTGGGCCACTGAACAAAGGAACAGTGCTAAACTCCCAAGCATGGAGCCGAGGAGTGACAGAACCGAACCACGGAGCAACTCCCGAGCATGCAGCCCAAGGAGTGAAGGGATAGGAGCCCGAAGCGACTTGGAACAGTCCTAAAGTAACTAACATCCCAATGCCAGGACCAGCATGCAAAACGGAGCCAAACGGAGTCTAGCACTATTTTAGCATACCGGTGGCCTAACGCGAGGACATGGGTACTCCACCAGCTAGCATGGAATGGAACTTGGGCTTAGACCCAAGCTAAACGCAGAACAAGGACAGGCATGCAAGCGGGAGCTAAACTATGCCTTAGGTTGGTTGGCCATGCCCGACCTACCCACTATCCCTACTATATATTTGGAACCCCCCACAGCCCCCCCCCCCGCTTGAGGAACACATGCTTTGGGCTTTCACCCCAAGCCTCCCTTAGTATCAAGAGTTAGTCTCTTGGACAAGCTCGAAACTTACTAAATATGGAATGTCCCCAGATTGCAAATTTGGACACGGGACGAACACCATTGTGTTCAAGACAATCTCTACATTCCATAGATATGCCAAATGAGCAAATCTGGACACTTTCCATAAATAACATTTGGGACCGAAATGAGGCCAACACAAAGGGCATGATAGCGAGGGTGTTTGGCAGACACGGTAAGCTATCATCTAGCGATATTGAGGGACCAAGCTCAATATCACGGGGGTTCCCAACACTAGCAAGTGCAAGTCAATGAATGAATTTCTCTAACCAGGTCAAGTATGCTTGACTAAATAGACACTTAGGAATTCCTTCCTTATGCTCATCTGGTCAAGTGCACACGCAAGGACCAGTTTCTCAACTAACTTAGGCGGAGACTGATAACGGGTCTAGCAATACCGACCTCCTGCCGTCGTGGCAGTAAGGAAAGAATATCCGAAAGGACTGGTCGACAGGTAACTTTCGATACCCGAAGTCACATTCGTGACACTCTCCCCCCCTTGGGGAAAATCGACGTCCTCGTCGATGCATACTCCAGTCTAGAATACCGCCAAGGAAATAACTCCAGAAAAAGTTCATAATACTCACACTATGTGAGAAATGCACCCATTTAAATGAGTTAGGGGGTAACCTCTTTGTCTAACGCGGATGCGCTACCAACTCAGACACCTTGCGGCCGTCACCGACAAGGAAATGACCAACAGAGTCAGCCACCCTTGCTGCTTTGGGTGTCACTCAGCTATAAAAGTGTGATACGCCCTTGCCCGCAAGGACATAGAGAGAGGAGCCAGAGGCCCCAACCCTCCTGAGCAAAGAAACCAAACCTGTCGGTAAGGTTTAGATAGACTACTGTAAACAGGCAGTTAGAGTTGTTTAGACGATCACGCCCTTTCAACGGAATAAGGAACATCAACAAAGAGGCGGGTTATGTGACCAATCGACAATAACTACCCCATGACTAGAGATTTCAATATGCACACGAAGTGCTGAAGCCAGTCTGCCTATACTAGCCCAAATTCAAAGATCAATAGATGGACAATACCAAAGTCATAGACAATGATAGTTTTGAGTCTTAATTATAGAATCCACCAAGATCACCATAATTGGTAAACATAGGATTCACCATTAAACAAAATTCAATAGCAAGGATATCATCAAGTAAACTCAATAAGAAAACTTAACTATCAAAGATTGTAGACAATATGCTAAATAACTTACGAAAGATAACTCAAAAAACACTAAGGATCATTGACTGACAAACAAAATGCTCGCAAATATATCACTCAAAGGAAATAACATCCCAATCTATTAGAACTAACTTGAACAATAATCAACAAAACAAAATGAATGTGGTAAAACCAACAAACATTTAGTTATGCCAACCATCACACAAGTCAATCTGAATAGATCCCAGTCAATAATACCAAGGAACCAGAGTTGCTTAAACAAGTGTTAGCAATGTCCTACTGATGTCTCAAACCCAAGAGACCAATCCAGAGCAAACCACAAACAACTTATGGTATTGCGAAAAGCTATAAGCTATCAAAGAGAACAATTAACCATCATAAAAGATCATCAACCATCCCATAAAACAAAAATGCAAAATCATCGTCAAAGAAACAATCTACCATTCCGAAGAACGGCAAATCATTTTATACCAACAATAATCAAACAAAACCTTTGATAAAGATAATCAATTATCTTAGATGATAGTCAATTATTACCAATGAATGCTAGATGCAAATACTAACAATATCAAAGCTAATAAGCCAAAATGCCTTCCCCAACAACTTCTAACAAATGGAACATTGAGCATAAAAACTCAAAGAACCAAAAGTTTGAAGAAGCTTATACATAAGGTCTTTGTCTATAATGATCATAAGTCTTGCATGAACTAACTTCAATGCTAAAGAAGAAATCGTGGTATAACCCATAATATCTTACTCAACACATCCATAAGCTAACTTCATAATGCCAAAGTTAATGAAGAGCATGTCTGCATCAATCCAATAGCTAAGCATAACGAAGTTATGCTAAACAAGTGATCACCCAATCGATCTTCCATGAATCCATCTATAGCAAGACGTAACTCACTTCATAACAAGTACAACACAAATCATCAATGATCAATATATCCCAACTCAAATCTAACAAGGATTCAAATATTCTAATATTGATCACTAACTCTTCCACTTGTAAAGTTAGCATAGTCTATAACTAAATCACTTTTTTCAAGGAAAAGCTTAAAGCTCAGCCCCTACTAAACAATCTCGTTTAGAACACAACTAACTCAAACTTGCTATTCAGTTCATCTGAACGTCAATACAGTTGCTAACTAGCAAATACATGAATGCTAACAACACAAAGCTACAGCCAAATCATCAACACTATCTTCATCAAGACTAATGAAACTCAATATCAATCCTACAGAGATATCTCATTTCACTCGAATCTCAACATCAATAATGTCAATGACAAGGCATCACTTCAATGCCATCAACACCATAACAAAGCTAGAAGAAAGCAAGAGTGAATCACCACCCAAAACTCTTTAGCAACCAAGCTAACTAAAGTCGAAGATACTTTAGGCAGTATTTAAGACCAGTTCTTCAACAATACTTAGCTATAGATAACACATCATCAAGGAATGAATCACCACATCCAAAATTCAATGAAATCTAACACTACGAACTTAAACGCAACCAAATGATATCGACAAAGGTAGAATTGATATGCCAACATGGAAAACCCATGTAAGTCTAACAACACGATCCTCCACAATACCATCCAGTAAAGCAAACCCATCACTGCTAAATCATCATCGAGCGAAGCAAGTATCAATAGTCTTTTGACAAAGTCTACAAGTAATCACTAGTCGTAAAGCAACTAACAATCACCCTTCAACTTGCCTTCACAAGACCCGAACACCAATTCATGTCATCGAGTCATATACTTGTCCAACATGAACATAATACCTCAGGTATGAGATAAAAGTTCATAGACAAGCACAAACTATATGACCACTCGAATCCAACTCAATCATAATAAGCTCACTAATGCATTTAGTCAATAGCTCTGAGTATGCCTTGAAGAGGCTAGCTATGCATGATCAACACTTAGCTAAAGCTAAAGTGAAGACCATGAGATGGATTCATATTGGTACACAACCTCCTCATAGACAAAGCTATAGTATGGGTACCAACATCTCAACCTCAAACAACTAAATTGGACATCACCATCCTCAACCAAGGTGCAGGGCCACCAAGACCAAGTCAAGATTAGTGAGAGCTCACTACTCTCATAGAGTTTAACGTAATGCAAGGTGCAACCTACCACTAAGCATAACGCTACAAAAGAAAGGTACAAGAGTCACCCTTCTTAGAAAAGCGCAATAGCCACTTTTCTATACCAACTCTAGACTCTATCCAACTCAATTGCCTTAGCCTCAAAAGTCAGCATCCCTTTCGGGTTGCATTATACAAACCACTTACCAAGGTCTAAGCTAACCGAAGTCAACTCTAACCCCTTCACTAGTTTGTATTGGCTTACGAAAATGGAATGGTTTTCAGCAAAGTGACCAACAGATCAGCCATTGGAGAAGTCTAAGAAAATTTGTGGAAAATT